GGGGTGGGGGCTGTTAAAGTACTTAGACTGAAAAATATCTCTACGGACTGTTATGGCTTACAAGTTGGACAAAAATATGTCCCTCTTCTTCAAATAGCCTACCCCAGGTTGTCGCAAAGTGTGCAACAGGTTTGCTAATATTAAGAGAGTCAACATTTTGTTGTGTAAAGACATTTCATATTTAACTGACTTCCTGTTACCGAGCTTGACAATGTGAGCCCAAAGCTCTTTTGTTCTCCTTTCTCAGTCTGTGTGTTGATAGCCCCGCCCTTTTTCAAGGCCTTGGCTGGTCTCTGTGTCCTTGGTGTACTAACTAAAGACTCTATAACTGTTGATGTCTTTGTGTCAGCCAAAAGGCCCAAGGGGAAATTTTGAAGGTACGCAAAAACTCCGACGCTGCCCTCAAGGCGTTCAACGCGAGCTTGTGCCTCTTCCAGTAAGTTAATCCCGGCTGTCCTGGGTCGTTTTGACTGGTCAGTATCATTATATAATGAGTTGAAAACAATGGCGTCAACTCAATTTTAAACAGTTAGCCAACATCAACTTGCATAATGTGTGAATGGTGACACGTGATAAACGCAAAAACTGATGACATAACAAACGACAAATTTCTGTATACCTTGCACTGAGACAACATGGTCAACGTAAACCCGTGACTTGCTTTAGCACTGAAGTTACGACAGATTAAGCTGCTTTCGAGAGGTCTGCGGTTGAGAAACTACCTACAAACTTTAAAACTATTGTTCACGACCGTCTGTCACGAACAAAGAGAGCCATTGTGAGATACGCCAGTTCGTCAAAAGTGCCATGGGGCCAGTGTTATTGTTAAGGATTTTCCAAACTGAAAAGTGCAAAAAATAGAGGTTTAAAGCTCCTTTCAACACTATAAGGTTATTTTTTTTAGAAGGAAGGCCTCTGATTTCAACATCCCTCTCCAACAAGACCGAGCCAAACGGGTGGAGATATTTAAAACTCCACAAAACAATCCAAGTTCAAAATCTCTAATCATGTTAAGAATTATATATCTGTTGCCACAAAACAAAGTAAATTGAGCAAGGTTAGATCATCGAAACGGAAAAATAGGTTGAATTCTTTTCGGTTTGTTTGTTTTTGTGAGGCGTTTGTAGTTTGTTTGTTTTTGCGTGTGTATGTTTTTTGGCGAGTTTGTTTATTTAGTTATTTTTGTGTTTATATTTTTTACTTCTTTTTAAAAATCTAAAACCTTTTTCCCAGGTCAATGCATTCTTGATCAAAATTTGGAGAAGTTATCAATACTATGTTTTTTTAACTTAATTAATACATGTGTAGAAGTACTGTTCACGTTATTAATTTATTTAAATCAGATGAGGTCACTTGATGACAACGTGTTCGTTTGTGTACACGCATGTGTGTGTGCGTGCGTGCGTGTGTGTGTGTGTGT